ACCTAGTAGTTTTGACGCATAAAGATATTATATGAATTTACTTTTCCGACGGACTTTTGAGACACTTTGTATATTTAAATAAAAAAAAGAGTTCTTATCCATGTCTTGACGTTTAAAATTAATTTTTTAAAAATATTTGCTTAAACAATAAAGCCGAACGCTTAAAAATATAATATGCTCCATTGTTTATTTAAATAGTTTGAAAATGTAACTAGGTCGTAAGTTAGAGATTTTATCAATCGGCGAAAAACTTCGAAGGATGTCTAAAGTTGAAACCGTACCGGTTCGATTAACTGATCTTACATAAATGTCTGGATGGCTGAATCGTAGAAAACTTGAAGGTATAAAGGGGTGATGGTAAAGGGTGAGGGTGAAGATGAGAATGAAGATTCTCACCCTCTCGTCGTCACCCTAACTCTCACACTCTGAGCGTCACCCTTACTCCTATTTTTCTTCCAGTATCATATTCTATACCCCGAAATCATGTGTCGCGTTTTGTTAGAGTAGATCAACATGACGTGTCAGAATTACCAGTCTTGCATCAAACGTAACGGCTACCGATTTGTCAAACCACTTTGAAATGACGTCTCTCTTGATAAGTATTCGCAAATATGAAACGAGTTGGTCTAAATAGTATGCTTTGATCGATGGATTTCACAGTGAAGAACAAGCTGTTGTGGTTGCTTAACATCATTGAATATGAGTTGAATACTACTGATATGTTGTTATCTTACACCTTTTTTAATTTTCAGTTAGGCATTTTTAGATACTTTTGAGTCGTTTAGTGGTTTGCACACGTCGCAGCACAACCACAGAGAGTCACCACACAGAAACTTTGAAACTTTCGTTGACTTTTAACTGTTCATCACGTAGTGACGTTTGATTCACAACGCTGTCAATTGCTTAACTCCTCACCTCTGACTCTACCAGCATGTATGTGTTTGAAGTTTTAGGATTAGAGCGCTTTTCTTAACTGTAAAAATAAATAAAATTGCTGTATACAAAAATAGTAACTACGCTAAACCGAAAAATAATTCATCGACTTGTGTCCTTTTTTTTTGTTGTTTTCCCACTATTGTGAAACGAAACAAACGGTAGACATTGACACGATTTATTCAATAGAAGCTGCCTATAGATCAGACATGAAAGCTTTAACTCTTTTAATTTCATAATATAAGGAAGTGGGATAGACGAATCATTTTTCTGTTTACTGTTTGACCATCATGTGAATGTTTCAATACCATTGTTCTTATGAATTTTGGAGAGTTCAAGTGTCTGTTTCAAAACTGATCAAGACTATCTAAAAATACCATTTTAAAGATATAATAAGTAAAACCTTGTTCACGATCTCATTTCCGATAATCTGCATTCTATTTCGCTTATTCTCACAAGCCTGTTTGAAAAACAATACATTTTTATATAACAAACAATTGATCAGCACCTAGTCAATTATAATATCCACCTGACAGTTGATAAGAAACTTCAATTTTGCATGATGTATTTCGTTAAGATGTCTTGCTCAGTGTTACCAAATCTCTTGATTTCAGGAGCTGTTTTCTTTTATTTTCTCTTGATTTTTCGTAAGTTTTAGTTATTTTTTTCCAGTTAACTGTTGACGACATTTTGAATCAATAAGATAGCTAAAAGGAGAAGAGAACTATCGCAATAGTTAATGGACATAATAATCAATAAGAAAATACATCGGTCTTCTTTTTTTCTTCAAACTAAAATCATCAACCATTAAATAAACTAATTTTATACAAATTCTTGATGGAACTTAAGATAATAAGAAAGCATACACACTGTTTGTGTTCAATGTTTTCTTCGCAGCATGATATTATTGAGATTTGAAACTCATCAGATAATAATCTATCAACACAATCTGTAAATAATACTATTTCTGTTCCATCACAAAAGTACCTCAAATTTGAGAGTTGCTACTTCAACATCAACAAAAGTAAATAAATGTTATCGATCAAAATTCAAAAAAGAAATGCTTATCTAATCCCAGTTATTTCTATATTAAACGAGCCATTCTCATAATAGCATCAACGGACAATGCACCAATTTTTCCATGATCTGAATGCTTTCCTGGAAACCGCATCAGCGCATGTAATGCACCTTCTCGAGGTATCATTGTATGGAGATCAGTCACGTCAACTACGATAAATTTTGTTGTAGCTTGAAAAAGACCATCCACAATGTAGTTTTCTAATTTTCCAATCGCATCAATGCCATTAATAAATGTTGTTTCACGAGCAACATTCAAATATATAGGCGCTAATAGATCATTCAAGGGTGTGGGTGTGGGTGTGAGTTAAGAGAGCAGACACACCCACATCCCAGTTTTTAAGGCTTGTTTCTTATTGCCATCTGAATTTTACAGAAATTGAACTGATTGTTATCAAAAGACACATGTTTTCCTTTATTTTTTATTTCAGAGAAAAGAAGTTTATTTCAATAGATAAATTTCTTTCAATTATAGTTTGATGACTTTATAATTGAAAGGCAATACATATAAACCGATCGTCGATGGAGCTTGTAATTTAAGTATGACTTGATAATTGGAATCCGAATTTTGTACTATAACATCATCAGTTGATTTTACTTCAGTTTCTCGTCCGTCTAGTATTCGATAGACCCGAATATCAGATTCTTTGATAAGCCAATTATCAATAGTAACAGAATATGATTGAAGCTGTTGTGTAAACGGTGTTTCAATAATGATAGTAAAATTATTCATTGGATAAGCCCATGAAATACTGACCGCAGTGCATGATGTAAAACGCGTGGCATCTAAATTGAGTGTTGCTGAATCACATGAGCGGGGAACCCAAATTGAACCACCACATGGATCGGATGAATCGTATACTTCAACTTTACACGACTCATTTGTAGTAAGTGCACCTTGAATAAATCCGATTGATAGTAAAATAAAAAATGTAAGTGTCGATACCATTCTATGTTATTCTGCGATGAAAATGAAATCAGAAAATGTAAAAAAAAACCATTTATATCGATATTTTGTTTTTGCATACGAAGTGTAACAGAAACAAAAAATCAAATAAGATAAGAGGCTTATGAGGCAATGAGAGGAAGGTCAAGTTACAGAGATACAGCTGCATTTTTTTGTCATTGTATGACACAAACTGAGTTATGATAGATGACTATCAAAGTTTATAGCTTGAATACTTACGCCACTATTTCATTTTTATGTTCTGAAAAACTACCGGTTAATTTTTATTTTTTGTGAGGCATATTTCTAGGCTTATCGTTTTCTTACTAGATAAGTTAGCGGAGTTAATCCATAGTCATTTTGTAGAGCGTGTTTTACGGCATCTTTTCATCATAGAAACCAACTTACAAACACGTCTTCCAGCTTAGAAAAATTTATTATACAAATCGAGGCAGCATTTCTGGTGCATCTTTTATGTTTTTCAATGTAAACCAGTTCGCGGTGTTTTTGTAAAGCAAGTGGTGATCGTATATAAATACCATTAAGATGTGATTGAAAAAGACTTGTAAACTACCGTGCACCATGATAAATTAAAGCACAACTATCCAAAATAAATTATCATAATCATGATCAAATGTAGACAATGATGCTTCATTAGTATTATCCCATAATGATGAAAGTGAATCACCAGCTGTTGATATATTCGAATAAAATTGATATATATGTAATTTATAATTTTCATTTTCATTATCTAATGCAAATTTACCATATTCAGCTATTTGAGTTGGAGCATCCCATGGTTTTAATTGAAATATTTTTCATAGAATATATTTATTAAATATGCTTCTACCATAAGTTTCAACAGTATAAACGTAACAGTTGAATTAATATTAATTGACTCGAATACGATGAAAAATTTAATGCTTTGAAAGTCATCTTCGGATCAATACATTGTTGATTATAAAAACATTGAAATGTTGATTGTAGAAAGGCTTCTAATGGATTACAACCAGCCATCATATCTTGTGGTGATTGAGTGCATTTTGATGATATTTCACAATTACATCATTGATAATCAATTGATACTGTTCGATAATCTAAATAGCGATAATTCATTTCAACATAATTATATTTCCAATTAGTTGAATACATGGACGATTTGCAATCTCATTGTACCGTTTGAATTTTCGACATTTATTCGCAATAACTCTGGTTCCTGTTGACTAATTTGAATAATTATTTTTTGTTTTGATCCACTATTTCATCTCCACTACCAGGCACAAAATCAACTTTTTATCATATGCAGTTCTCAAGTTATGGACGCTACAAGGGTCAAAATCTTGATTTTTGGGGCTAACTAGCGAGTGAAAATAGGATTTTTTTCATCTTTGGATGGGTGTGGATGTGAAAGAATGAAACATGAAACACCATACACCCACACCCACACCCACACCCTCTATATAGCCAACAAGAAAATGAAATGAATCAAGTCGAATAAAAACACTAACCGAAACTAGAATAAAAATGATTGATTTATACATAGTTTATCATCATTATAGCTTGAACATCTTCTTATTTCTCAACAAGTTGAAGAATATGAAGACAAACGTCTTTGATGATTTCAAAATGTGTTCGAACACACAATGACTTTTCAGATAACGATCAAAGTATAGGAATTGTCCATTCTCGTTGGTTTCGAAGTCGAACACTGACTCAAAAAATCAGCCTCTTTCGTAGTGATTGTTGCTACATGAATGTGATCATTCGAGTTACCTCTGTCTCATGTCATGGTATCATCTTGACACTAGAACGTCATCAGATTTGGTCCATTCCTTTTTCCTTCTAAAGATGAAAATCGTTATATTATTTGAAAAAAATCGAATCTCTTAAAATTCAAACTAAAGTTCATACGAGTAAAAATCGATAATTATAGATTTTGGGGTAAAAAGCAATTCTGTTTTTGGTAAAATCTTCTCGTCTGAGTCGATTAAACAAATCGATAAGAACAACAACTCTTTTATTTATTCAATGTTGGACAATACTAATATATTGATTATTTAATTGTTCATCTTAATCCACTATTGTTTTAGATGTCAAAGTCGATTTCATTTTCATATTCGATATTCTTTGAAGTTTTTTTTCTCTTATTTACATAACATTAGATCTCTGTAGCTATCTGTATATAATGATACTAAGAAAATAAACACACAACATATATTCGAAAAATATTCATTAGAGAATTCTAAAAAATTCAAAAACAAAATGTTAGTAATAATATTAGAGTGAAGCATCGTCGAATAACTGTGAATGAGTATTCACTGATTATATCAGAGTACGTGCAATGATACATCTGTGTAGTGCTTATCAACAATAACATTTCAAAAATTTACTTACAAACATTCCTTTTCTTTTAATGTTAATAATTATCTGTTCAGCTCTTCTATTTATGTTTCATTACTTTTTTTTTATATCCAAACTTATGCAAACATTTTATTGAGACTAAAACTAATAAAATGTATATAATACTGTCTAATTATTCTCATCATTTTTTATGATAACCGTATTCATTTTGCAAGATCCATCTATAGTTAGATCAATCAAATAATGCTAATCAACTTAAGAATAGAATTGAAATTCAATTCTTGTTGATTGTTCCGATTCTTTTCTTCTATGTATTAATACAACGGTATGATTATCAGACAGTTTTTTACGTTCCACTATAGGTTCCTCCGAATGACCAATATAGACTGCTTCGATATTGCAATTTTCCTTTCGGCGGAATACTCAACATATGCATCTTACAACACTATAGCATTTAGGGAATAAGGATGTGGGTGTAAACGTCTGGCTCTGGGTCTGGCCGTCGATGTAGGGTATCTTAAGAAAAGTATGCATATTCACACCTACAACCCATCCAACCACACTCCACCCTTCTGATTTGTTGTTGAATTCCAAACGTTTTCAGACGATGTTTTTAATACATAAATTAATTATGACTATAACTGATTAATATTATAGATCTGTATTGCGCCATTTTCTGCTCTTTCTTAATCTTTTTCAGTTGTTGAGTACTGTACACACCGGCGAATACTTTAACATATTAGTAAATTTTGGCTACTATAAATGGCCAGTAAAAAGTGTATAAATGATCAGTATTTAGATTATTACTCATGTAAAAAGAAGATTCAGAAAACATCTGATTTTAATCATGGTTTTAATCACCTACTGATTAAAATAAATTAAATCTATAAAAATTAATTATAATAACGGTGACGGAAAAATTCATTTTCTCGAACTTTATGTTGACAATTCAAATATTAGATCGTTTTTTCTGACTCTTTCTGTAGGAAAATTAGTAGATATGATGATAGATCGTCAACTGACATAAACTTCATGCTTCAAGATTCGATATCAATTGGTACTTAATTTATTTAATCAGTAGGTTGATTAAAAACCTCATTAAAATCAGATTTTTCCCAATCCTCTTTTTACATGAGTGATATTCTAAGTACTGACCATTTAATCTATTTTACTGACCGTTTAATAAAATCCCGTAAATTTTTTTGCGTTGCTGAACTTAAGATTGAATGCTAATTATTTTTTTTCAAAGATTTCGTAAACATAATTCAGCTGAAAAACATTTATCGAAAGAATTTTGAACCAAGGAAAACTTAAAAAATAATATGAAAATTATGTTCTGTACTCTTTGTTAGACTTTTTCATTTGCATAGTTTATATATATGATTTGTTTTCCTATATTTTTCGTAAACAGAGTTTTGGACTTTGAAAAAAAATCCGAAACTAGGTCTCTTTTGCTAGCTTTTTTTGTATTAACTAACAATTGTAGGTTATGCAATTGCAAATTAAGTAGATTGTTCATAATCAAATCAAATGAATACTCTAACTCGCATATCAGCTAGTTCAAAATATGAACTGCCAATGGTGTACACATATCGACATATATACAATTTGTCATCTGCGTACACAACAGAATTTCATCAACACTTGATTCACTTTTTTCCTTATGGTTGAAGAATACAGCATAATTATTTACATAAGGAGAACAATATCAGAGACATTCAGAAGCAATTTGGTAGCAATTAGAATTTTTTGTCTATCACACTTATAATTAAAAAAAAATTGTCTTAGACTTTGCCAGATTTGCTTTTTTTAATATGCATGATATTGTTTTTACTTATGTAAATGGTCGTGCTCTATCCAAACATGACTAAATAGAAAACAAAGCGTTGATGAAATTTTGTAATGTAAACACATAAAAACCGTAAATTTCTTGAAACTCAAATATCTCCATCTGTGTATACTATTGTCAGTCGATATTTTTAGTTAGTTGGTTTGACAATAAGAGCATTCATTTGATTCGACTATGATCAATCTCCTCAGTTTACAGTACACAATTTTTTACTCTAAGCTATATAACATTTGTATTCTCTTTGTTTGCTATGCAATACTTCCGAAAATTAAGTTTGAGTTGATAAATAAAAACAAAAGTGAAGTATTTTGTGCAAGTTTGTCAACAGTTACTTTTCTGCTTGGTATTCTATTTTTGAGAGAAAATTCTAATTTTTTTCTGATTTTTAAGTGTTTCATCTGATAAATCTGGTTAAAATACTAGAAACGATTCTTTTCTTCTTTCTTTCCTAATTCTTGACATTAAGAACAAGCAAACAATTCATACGCAGTTTAGATGAAAGAAAAATAATATAATTATTATCTAATTCAAAAATAA